CAATTATTTCCTTACAATTTAATTTCTAAAAAAAAAAAAGGAAGAAATAATAAAATCTGTCTGACTCAATTGGGTCTAATACAAATTCTACTTTAATTTAGGCATTTAATACTAGCATTTAAAATTTCTAGCTATAAGCTCTATATAACCTTCTACTCAAAGTATGTGGTCCCTAGACCTGCAGTATTAGCATCATCTGGAAACAAGAAATGCAGACTCTCAGGCCCCATCTCAAGTCTACTGAATCACAATCCACATTTTAACAAGATCTCCAAGTAATTCACATCCACATTATAGTCTGAGAAACACAAAGACAAGAGGATAATGTTTTTAAATATGTGAAGGAACAACTATAGATGGGTTTGGTGAAGGCAAAACAGTGTAGTGATTAAGAACATGGGCTCTGAACTAAGACAAATCTGAATTCAAATCTTAAATTAAGTACTGACTAACTATATGACTTTGACCAGATTCTTAACCCCTCTGAGCTTCATACTACTATTCTGTAAAAGTGAAGTAATCATAAACTCCTACCCTATAGAGTAATTAGAGGGATCACATGAGACATGTAGGTAAAGCATTCAGTAGCATGCTTGGCACAAAATAAGCACTTTAAGTCTGTGAGCTACTTATTATTATTATGTTCATGAATAAAAGAAAAATAATCCTACTATAACCAGCATCTACTTCTTCAAGGAAATCCTTACCTCTGTAAATTTAAATGTTGACTTTTTCAAAACTAGACAGCAGAGCTATCCATAATATAAAAAACAGGGACGATAATGGCATTATAAATTAACTGCATTAAGCTAAAAGGTATTTACATCAATGCCCCACACTTACTACTAAAATCACTTTTGCATAGCCCCAACATGGTCTTTTTAGCTACAAGAAAGCAGTAGCCATTGCNTTTTGCATAGCCCCAACATGGTCTTTTTAGCTACAAGAAAGCAGTAGCCAAGTAGCTTAACTTGGGGATTTCAAGGGAAACTTTAGTTACTAATTAACACATGATAAAATAAGTTATTTCCCTCTTATTATGCAAGAATATAAATTTATAACTTTTATGTTTTCAAATATGACATCTGGAAAAAAATTAATTTTTCACTGTTTCAACCTTCCACAGATTTTATATATAATACATAAACCCTTAGTAATTAGAAGTCTGAATAGGATATACCTAAAACCCTAACTTCTTCCTTGGATAAAAATAATTTTATATTCCCTCAATTCTTGCTCTTCAAAACAGAAAGGAGCATCTCTCCAGGTAGATGGCACTTGAGTAGAAGTTAGTTAAGATGAACTAAAATATTTACAACTTTCCAGTTTCTTTACAGAACAAAAAGATATTAATAAATACCAGAAACAATTTCTTAGAGCCAGAAATAAGGATCTACTAAACATCAATGCCATCTCTACTCTGGTGCTAACAATTCTAAAACTACCTTTTGAAAATAACTATTTCAGAAATGCACAGGTTCACTATTCTGCTGAATTCTTTTATAATACAACAGAGGCTATACTGACACCACTACGGATGCTAGAAGCTTGGCCTCACCCCAATCTTCCATCATTCCCTGGTTTTGAAACATAAATAGCAATAACTATGCTAGTAAGGCATTGAGCAACTAGAGGGATCCCCTCCTTTTCTAGTTGCTGCTAGGAAGGCCTGGGAGGCTTCTCTGTCCAATCAGCCCCTTTCTTTACTGGACCTTGGACAATCTTGTTCCCACTGCTGAGGACTGGCACACAAAGAAAGGCTTAAGGGCTCTGAGGGAAGGTCTGCTCCTGGCATCTCATGGTGGAACTCAGAAAGCTTTCAATTTCAGAAAGTAGTGGTTAGGTTCTACAGAACCATTAGTATTATATTTCAGCTACACTGGGGGTTAAATAAATTACAGAGAAGCAGTGAGATACAATGGAAAGAGCATGAACTCTGGAGTCAAACAGACCTGGGTATGAATCCCGGCTCCAACATTTACTAGCTGTGAACTTGGGCAAGTCAGTTTATCTCTCAAAGCCTCAGTTTCCTCATCTGTAAAATGGGGGAAATTATCTACCTCGAAGGTGGTTTTAAGAGTGAAATGAGATAACTAAAAGTGTATACAGGGGACTCAACAAATGTTAATTTCCCTCCTTACTCAAAATGAGTTTCTAAAAGCTATCCTATGTATTAACGTGCTGTTGAGTTGGCTCCAAATCCTGGAGACTCTATGAATTAGTGATGTCCACAATGTCCTGACCACAACAGCCTTGCTCAGCTCCTGCACACTCATGCCTATGGACTTTTTCTACGGAGTTAATCCATCTCATATTTGGTCTTACTCTTCTGCTGCCTTCTATTTTTCACAGCATTACTGACATTTCCAAATAACCCTGACTTCTCATGATATGCCCAAAGCAGGAAAGCTTCCGTTTTATCATTTTTGCCTCCAGCAATGTTTCTGGTTTAATTTGTTCTAGGACTCCCTTTTGTATTTCTGGCAGTCCAGGGTATCCATTGACCTCTCCTCCAACACCATATATTTCAAGTAAATCAAAATTTTTTTCCTATCAGCTTGTAAAGCTATACTAATACAAATAATTTATAACATTTCTTCTATATAAAAAAATGTGTTCTGAGTACCCAAAAACTGCAATGAACTAGTAGAACACAAGCCAATTATAAATTATATGTCCACCTTTCTTTTCTATCTTTAGAGATACAAACACACGACCTAAAAGAAGAGATAGGAAAACACAGTGAGATCAACGTTCACTACTGAACTGAAGCACCAGTTTCTCATTGGTTCTAATGAAAAAAATCCAAGTCTCTGGTATATTAACTTTTCCCAAAAATTTATTACAAGCACTTATAACTCTCGGTGACATGCTTTTTGCATTATAAAATTACTCAAACAGTAAATTTACTTATTTAAATATTTTAATCTCTTAAAATGATAATGATGATGCTTTTACATTTCAAACATTACTATTGCTAATACATTTACTCAAAGAATGATACCATATATTTTTATCAATACTACATACAAAATTAAAAACAGACTCATCACTGGAAGAAAATAAACTTCCACATCCCTTTCCAAACACTAACTCTTACCTCTGCATTTTCGTGGCCTTCCAGGGTCATACAAATATCCAGATCACTATCACGAAATCCAAACCCATTCTTAGAAGAGCCAAATAGGCACAATCTTGCCTTTTCTAAGCAAAGAAAAATAAAAGTAAAGTTTTATAATTAGCAGGAAGGAGGAGTCTTCTACTACTACCTATGGCCTAAAACAAATGATCTTGTTCACTTTCTACGCCCTAAATTACCTACCATTGACATATATACTGAGAAATTCCAAAACACTCATCTAAAGCACAGATCTTTTGCACAAGTTCCCACACCCACGTATCTAACTGCTTCTTCCATTTTTCCACAGAAATCATAAACTCAACAAGTCAAAACTAAACCATCAACTTCATCTCAAACCTACTATTATTCCTATAATCCTATAATCCTATTATAAGCAAACTGTATCGTCATTGACTCAGTTCCCCAGGTCAGAAATATACATGTGATTCTTAACATCTCTCAACTTCCACATCCAAAAAACCACCAAGTCCTTTAGCTTCTTCCAACTTAACTATCTCATAAATTCATTCACTCTTATTCATCCTCAACAACACTACTGATAGTTAAGATCAATATTTAGAGAGTTATGTTTTGGAAATAAACTAGTTTTTCAAGAAACAATTCAAGTAGTTTTATAAATATCACCCTAGTACACAGAATTAATTCTCCTCCAAAAGTGAGTCATTAATCCATTTGATATAAATTATGATAGGGTTATCCTCTCATGCTTAGTATCATTCACTACAGATGCCACTTCAAAGCTGTGACTTAACAGAATTGGGCTTTTCACCCTATTAATTCTTGTAGACTATACATTTAGATAACAAATTCTATATTTTCAAAACTTAATCCTCTGGCCCTAGCCAGTTTTCTCAGTGGTTAGAGCATCAGCCCACAGACTGAAGGGTCTCGAGCTCAATTCCAGTCAAGGGCACGTACATACCTTGGCTGCAGGCTCAATCCCCAACCCAGTCGGGGCTTGTGCAGGAGGCAACCCCAACCGATGTGTACTCTCTCACATCGATGTTTGTTTCTCTCTATCTCTGTCTCTCTGTCTCTCTCTCTCTCTCCCTCTTCCACTCTATCTGAAAAGCAATGGAAAAAATACCCTCAGGTGAGGATTAAAAAAATAACAAATAACTTAATCCTCTGATTCAGCTCTGATACCCTACTTGAAATTTCAATGATAACAGAGAGATAAAAAAGAAGCTATGTTCATGAGCAAATAAAAATGTGTCAGTTTAATATAACAGGGACTTAGATTTGGTCAATACTTTACATAATAGCAAATATAATTTAAAAATGGCATCTTATAGCACATAACAGATTATCTTCTAAAAGTACAAATTCATTCTGATTATAAATCAACTCTATTCTTTTCTAAAATATTTGGCCACAGAACACTTGATTCTTCACCCCTATACTCAAAACTGCTCCTTCTACTATTTTTGCCATCTCACTTAAATAGCACCACCCAACTATTGAGGTAAATACCATGAAATCATCCTTGACTCCTTTTCTCATATCTAACTGTAATGCATTAGCAAAACCTGTTGGCTCTACATTCAAATTATATCCTTAATCTGACCACTTCTCATCTAGTCTTCCAAATCACTGTCATATCTCATCTGAACCTATGCCACATCCTCTTAAATGTTCTGCTTCCTTCTATTCTTATGAATCTATACTCTGTTCTCTCAGATCATGTCACTTAAGTGTTAATATCCTCCAGAAGCTTCTCATCAGACACTCAAAATAAAATTAAAAGTCCTTCTATCAACATCTATAAGACCCTAACGATCCAGTCTCTAGGCTACCTCTCTGACGTCATCTTTCCAGTACAGTAACCTCACACACTCCACTCCAGCTACACTGACTTCCTGGCTGACCTTCAAACATACCAAACATAATCCAGCCTTGGGGTGTCTGTATTTGCTACTCTTTCTTTCTAGAATGTTCTCTCCTTAGATATTCATATAACTTGCTCCTTCGTATTATTCATGGCTCTACTCAAATGCCACCTTATCAGAGAGAATTACCATAACATCCCATCACTATCCTTTTAACTCCTGAACTTTAATAGCATTTATTATTTCCTGATATTACATTACATACATTTTTTTTACTTGACTATCTGTCTCCCCTCTTAATATAAGCTTCATGAGAGCAGGTTTCACCTTTTTTTAGCACTGTATCCCCAGTACCTAGAATAGTACCTAACACATAACATTTAACACTTTTTAAATAAATGAATGAAACTCAGAACAGGTGACTACAATAACAAAAGCATCAATTTTTAACATACGACATACCATCATATTCTTTTTGAATAAACTTTTCCAAACCCATTAAAATTTGCTCTCTGTTGTGTTGTTCAGAGAAAGGTGGTGATAACTCATCTAAATTAAAAAAAGAAAAAATTAAAGAAAAGTAGAATCTGAAAATACCTTCAATTTTTTACCCTAAAAACTTTATTTAAAATTTATTTATTATTTGTTAACTTCTATGAATATAAAATCATATGTGTTATTAGGGAAAGGGGCAGGAAACAGCAAAAAAATAATTTTTATAGACCTATGTACATTTCACATGATCATTTTCCTTATGCAATATCTACAAAATATATTTACTTCTACAAATTATTTAATATTGTTTTCTTCAGACATTCCACTCTCTCCCATATACATGCCTGTTTTTCCCTCCTGGTAAGACTATAATCATATTGTTGCACTAGGCACCTGACCTTCAAATTTAACGGTTGCCACAACTGTCTGATCAAGATTCACATCTTCCCTATAAGCTGCTCTACCCAACCAGTCTTCAAAGACCTTTCTTTAAATTTCCTTAGTTCTCCAAAAAACTGCTTGCCAATTTAGTTTACATTGTCCTTTTAGTTTTCCTAACTTTTCATTTATATTTATCTTATTTTTCTAAAGAAGNTAGTACCTAACACATAACATTTAACACTTTTTAAATAAATGAATGAAACTCAGAACAGGTGACTACAATAACAAAAGCATCAATTTTTAACATACGACATACCATCATATTCTTTTTGAATAAACTTTTCCAAACCCATTAAAATTTGCTCTCTGTTGTGTTGTTCAGAGAAAGGTGGTGATAACTCATCTAAATTAAAAAAAGAAAAAATTAAAGAAAAGTAGAATCTGAAAATACCTTCAATTTTTTACCCTAAAAACTTTATTTAAAATTTATTTATTATTTGTTAACTTCTATGAATATAAAATCATATGTGTTATTAGGGAAAGGGGCAGGAAACAGCAAAAAAATAATTTTTATAGACCTATGTACATTTCACATGATCATTTTCCTTATGCAATATCTACAAAATATATTTACTTCTACAAATTATTTAATATTGTTTTCTTCAGACATTCCACTCTCTCCCATATACATGCCTGTTTTTCCCTCCTGGTAAGACTATAATCATATTGTTGCACTAGGCACCTGACCTTCAAATTTAACGGTTGCCACAACTGTCTGATCAAGATTCACATCTTCCCTATAAGCTGCTCTACCCAACCAGTCTTCAAAGACCTTTCTTTAAATTTCCTTAGTTCTCCAAAAAACTGCTTGCCAATTTAGTTTACATTGTCCTTTTAGTTTTCCTAACTTTTCATTTATATTTATCTTATTTTTCTAAAGAAGACTTTATACAGGGTGGGGCAAAAGTAGGTTTACAGTTGTTTGTATGGAAAATAAGACAATAATTAATAAATAATAATACAAGAATAAACTCTTGAGTCTCGAGTACTTACAACTGCAAACCTACTTTTACCCCACCCTGTATTCCTTAAGAATAGTGTTTTTTTCCTATCTCCTCCTCTAGACTTATCCCCAGGAGTTAATAAGGTAATGGGAACAATACAGTAATCTACTGTAATGAATTAAACTAATACTCAGATTTTGAAAAACAAATGCAGCATCAGCAGTTGCAAGCTGAACAGCTGAAATATAGGTGATTTTTTTTTTTTTTTTTAGAGTGGTGAATTATTTTGTATGATACTCTAATGGTAACATAATATGATGCACATGTCAAAACCCATAGAACTCTGCAGCACAAAGTGTAAACTACAATATGCAAATTTTAAAAACTCATCTAGGTGGTCAGGTAATCTCAGGATGGAATGCAGGCTGTAACTAAAATATCTAACGGTATTAAAAATGTGTAAGACTTCACTCAAGGGAGTGGGGGAAAAGGTGCTAACCAAAGTAACTTTGAAAATGAGTGGAGCCCAGCCAGCATGGCTCAGTGGTTCAGCATCAACCTATGAACCAGGAATTCACAGGTTCAATTCCCAGTCAGGGCACATGCTCTGGTTTGCGGGCTTGATCCTCAGTAGGGGGTGTGCAGGAGGCAGCTGATCAATGACTCTCTCATCACTGATGTTTCTATCTCTCCCTCTCTCTATTCCTCTCTCTGAAATCAATTTTTAAAAATTTAATAAAGAAAATGAGTAGAGTCTGTAAGACTAAGAACAAAAGGAATTGCATATAAGCACTATACTATAATTGATAAAGTTGTTTTCCATAGGGGTATAGGATTACAGTTCCAATAATGCTATAGCTATGTACTTAAATTAAACAACTGAATAAGTGGCAGATGGTGGGAGTCAGATTTCTCACTGTTAGAGTAGGAAATTTACAGAAAAGCAGGAGAAGAGGCTAGAATGAGGTATGTAATAATGTATTAGAGTTGGAGACATCAGTAGAAAGTCATGTTCAGCTTAATGTAGATAAGATGGTTACATTTAGAAATATTCATAGATATGTGTGTATATGTATATATGTGGGTTAGTATACACACAAATTTTCTTGCTCAGAGAGGGCCTAGAAGCAACACCACCCAGTAATAACAGGCACCCTAGCATCCAAATCTTGGTTTCTAATACCATTTCCAATAAAAGGAACCAGGGTTCTTGGGAGAAATGCAGGAAATATATACATGATGACCTGGAGCACCTGTAATACCAGAAAAGAAAGAAAGTGCTAAAAAAAAAAAAAATGCCATACACTGTTGGGGATTTATTAAAGGGACACATGAATCAACTGAAAGAGCTTCCAATAGCCAAATCAGGAACAATTTAAGCAACAAAATAAAGTGTTATTGGATTAAAACCCAAAGTATAAAATATCAATGAGTCCATATTGAGATAAGTAACTGAATAGTGAATTATATCTTAATAAAGCTGCTAAAAAATGTGCCATGATTGAGCCATTCAACTCTTAGGTATTTACCCAAGAGAAATTAAAGCATATGTCTACACCCAGACCCATACATGAAAGTGCACTGCAGATTTATTTGTAATAACCAAAATTTAGAAACAAACCAAGTATTCATCAACAAGTGAATAGGTAAATTGTGGTACATCCATACAATGGAACATAGCAATAAAAAGGAATGAACCATCACTGATACACACAATATGGATGAAGCTCAAAATAATTATGCTAAAGAAGTCANNTTAAAAAAAAAAAAAAAAAAAAAAAGATTTCCCCCCACATTCCAAAAAAAGAGTACATGCTTTGTGATTCTACTCATAGAGAACTCTAGAAAATGCAAACTAATGTAACAAAAAGCAGGTAAGTTGTTGTCTGGCAGGAGATGAAGATAAAGGAGGATAAAATGCTACATCAAATTTTATCTTACCTGGGACACAGCAAATAATTTAAAAATGTTTGCTGTCGCCCCAATAAATTTAATTTTAAAAATAAATTAATTTTTTAAAATGTTTGCTGAGCGAAGATTCATCCCAGATATACCACAAACATTTGTTGAATAAGGTATATGTAAGGTTTTCTCAAAAATATCTTTATAGCCTTATCTCCCTCTATTGCCTTTCTTATACTCTACCAAATATAAGGTTATTATTCTCCTGGACAAATTAAACACCCTTTGGTTTTATGCATAATCTTCTGTACCTGAAAATGCAGTTCAAGGTCCAACTCAAATGCCACATCATTAATTACAATTCCTCTGATCCATCCCAGTTAAAACTGTGTTTGCACTGTATTTTGTTTACCACTACTATAGCAAGTAACACATTCTGCTTCCAATTATGGCAATGTTCACATGTGTGTCATACATTCATCTAGAACAACACTGTGCAAAAACATTGCAATGATAAAACTGTTCTCTATCTAGCCTTGGCCTGTGTTGATCAGAGGTTAGACCATCAGCCCGAGCACCAAAGGTTGATTTCCAGTCAAGGGCATGTACCTAGGTTGCCGGTTCCATCCTCGGCCCAGGTCAGGGCATGTGGGGGAGGCAAACAACAGATGTGTCTCTCTCACATTGATGCTTCCCCCCCACCTT